ATGGGAAAATGCCATTGGGGAAAATTCCACTTAGGGTTAGGTCATCATGAACTCATAGAGGAAAATGGACATCGCCAAGAAACATGGAACACTTTGGTATGGTTAGGAGCGTACTTACTTTTATACGCTGCCATATCTATCTTTCCACGTAAAATACATGGGAATATTACATAGTGGGAAAATTGCACTTAGGGTTAGGTCACCATGAACTCATAGAGCAAAATGGACATCACCAACAAACTCGGAATATTTGGGTATGGTTAGGAGCGTACTTACTTTTGTACACTGCCCGATCTATCTTTCCAGGTAAAATACATGGGAAAATTACATAGTGGGAAAATTCCACTTAGGGTTAGGGTTAGGTCACCATGAACTCATAGAGCAAAATGGACATCCCCAACAAACTCGGAATATTTGGGTATGGTTAGGAGCGTACTTACTTTTGTAGGCTGCCTTATCTATCTTTCCTGATAAAATACATGGGAAAATTACATAGTGGGAAAATTGCACTTAGGGTTAGGTCACCATGAACTCATAGAGGAAAATGGACATCGCCAAGAAACTCGGAACACTTCGGTATGGTTAGGAGCGTACTTACATTTGTACGCTGCCCTATCTATCTTTCCTGGTAAAATACATGGGAAAATGCCATTGGAGGAAAATTCCACTTAGGGTTAGGTCATCATGAACTCATAGAGGAAAATGGACATCGCCAAGAAACATGGAACACTTTGGTATGGTTAGGAGCATACTTACTTTTATACGCTGCCCTATCTATCTTTCCACGTAAAATACATGGGAAAATTACATAGTGGGAAAATTGCACTTAGGGTTAGGTCATCATGAACTCATAGAGCAAAATGGACATCCCCAACAAACTCGGAATACTTGGGTATGGTTAGGGGGGCATTTACTTTTATAGGTTGCCCTATCTATCTTTCCTGGTAAAATACATGCGAAAATTCCATAGTGAAAAAATTCCAGTTAGGGTTAGGTCACCATGAACTTACAGAGCAAAATGGACATCGAGAACAAATTTGGAGTGCTTGGGTATGGTTAGGGGGGCATTTTCTTTTGTAGGTTGCCCTATCTATCTTCCCTGGTAATATACATGGGAAAATCCCACTGGAGGAAAATTCCACTTAGGGTTAGGTCACCATGAACTCATAGAGCAAAATGGACATCGCCAAGAAACTTTGAATACTTAGGTATGGTTAGGAGCGTACTTACTTTTGTAGCCTGCCCTATCTATCTTTTCTGGTAAAATAGATGGGAAAATCCCATTGGAGTAATATTCCACGTACGGTTAGCGTTTGGTTACCATGCACTCATAGAGCAAAATGGACATCGCTAAGAAACTTGGAGTGCTTGGGTATGGTTAGGAGGGCACTTACTTTTCTAGGCTGCGTTAACTGTGTTTCCTGGTAAAATATATGGGAAAATCCAATTGGAAGAAAATTCCACTTAGAGTTAGGGTTAGGTCACCATGAACTGATAGAGCAAAATGGACATCGCCAAGAAACTTTGAATACTTTGGTATGGTTAGGAGCGTACTTACTTTTGTAGCCTGCCCTATCTATCTTTTCTGGTAAAATAGATGGGAAAATCCCATTGGAGTAATATTCCACGTACGGTTAGCGTTAGGTTACCATGCACTCATAGAGCAAAATGGACATCGCCAAGAAACTTGGAGTGCTTGGGTATGGTTAGGGGGGCATTTTCTTTTGTAGGTTGCCCTATCTATCTTTCCTGGTAATATACATGGGAAAATCCCATTGGAGGAAAATTCCACTTAGGGTTAGGTCACCATGAACTCATAGAGCAAAATGGACATCGCCAAGAAACTTTGAATACTTTGGTATGGTTAGGAGCGTACTTACTTTTGTAGCCTGCCCTATCTATCTTTTCTGGTAAAATAGATGGGAAAATCCCATTGGAGTAATATTCCACGTACGGTAGCGTTAGGTTACCATGCACTCATAGAGCAAAATGGACATCGCCAAGAAACTTGGAGTGCTTGGGTATGGTTAGGGGGGCATTTTCTTTTGTAGGTTGCCCTATCTATCTTTCCTGGTAATATACATGGGAAAATCCCATTGGAGGAAAATTCCACTTAGGGTTAGGTCACCATGAACTCATAGAGCAAAATGGACATCGCCAAGAAACTCGGAGTGCTTGGGTATGGTTAGGAGGGCACTTACTTTTCTAGGCTGCGGTAACTGTGTTTCCTGGTAAAATATATGGGAAAATCCAATTGGAGAAAAATTCCATTTAGGGTTAAGTTTAGGTCACCATGAACTCATAGAGCAAAATGGACATCGCCAAGAAACTCGGAGTACTTGGGTATGGTTAGGAGCATACTTACTTTTATAGGCTGCCCTATCTACAGTATCTTTCCTGGTAAAATACATGGAAAAATTCCATAGGAGGAAAATTCCACTTACGACTAGGGTTAGGTCACCATGTACTCATAGAGCGAAATGGACATCGCTAACAAACTCAGAGTGCTTGGGTATGGTTAGGAGGGCACTGACTTTTGTAGCCTGCCTTATCTATGTTTCCTGGTAAAATATATGAGAAAATCTCATTGGAAGAAAATTCCAGTTAGGGTTAGGTCACCATGAACTCATAGAGCAAAATGGACATCACCAAATACCTCAGAATTCTTCAGTCTGGTTAGGAGAGCACTTACTTTTCTAGTCTGCCCTATCTATGTTTTTTGATAAAATAGATGGGAAAATCCCATTGGAGGAAAATTCCACTTAAGTGTAACCTGTAAAGTGAGGCAAAATAAAATGGACAGAATAGAATACAATACAATAGAACATGGCTTAATAGTGGTAACTGCTAGAGGGATCTTGGAGTCCCAGTGGACAATCATTTAAATATGCTGCAGCTACCGAAAAGCCAATGCAATCCTAGGCTTCATTCACAGAAGGATAAAATCAATATCATGTGAAATTTTATTACCACTTTATAATGCCTTGATAAGACCACATTTGGAATATGCATCCTGTTTTGGTCACTACAATATAAAAAAGAGGTTGAGACTGTAGAAAAAGTGCAGAGAAGAGCAAGAGGCTAAAAGATATGAAGAACAGTTGCTGGAATTGGATATGTCTAGTTTAATGAAGAGAAGGATGAGGGGGGACATGATAGCAGTGTTCCAATATCTATACTTGATTATCTTCTACCAAGTATACCCATTCCTGAATAAGGTTTTAAATATCTGAAGATCTGAGATTTACCACCAAGCTCTTATACTAATCTTAACAGCTGGGGAACCACACAGTAGAAAATATGAGGGAAGTTGTCTTCAGAAGGGACTCCCCTGCTAATGTAAGTAATGGAAAGATTAGTGGAAGAGACAATCCTTCTGATAATAAGGCCCTAAAACTATTTACAATGTTAAAGGTCAATGCCATCACCTTAAATTGAGCCCAAGAGTCAATAATCAGCTAGTACAGGTCTTTTACTGTAAGCTTCACAGGATCCCTGTACTTACTGCTGTAAGCAGCCTGGCTGCTGCATTTTCCCCTAATGGCAATTTCCAGGTATTTTTCAAGTCTAACCCCACATAAATTGCACTGCAGTAATAAAGATGGCATAAATTTGACCAACACAGAAAGGATTGCAGCTGGTATTTCAACAAATATGATGCATTATACTGGTACCTCTGCAAATCTAATGGCAGTTGGAGGTCAGGGAACAATCTTCAATTGCAAACCTATCTTGTAGGAGAACAGCCTCTTGATTCAAGAGAGGCTTCACTTCTCTCCCCGAGAACCTATTTTCCTCCTTACCAACAGCACCTTCTTCTTCTCTAAAAGGCAAACTTAACAGACATGTAATATAGGGAGGACTTTATTCCCAGGAGCAGCAAATCAGCAGCAGAGTATGTTCTACATTCAAGATACTTCTATATCCAGTTGACAGAACATCTCCTTTTGGGCTGGTAATATGCTTTCAGTTTTCAAATCTGATCACATAATCCAGTGGAATGTACAAAGACACACTTGTCCCTCTTTTTTAAAATGTAATTTTCCATTTGCTTCACAAGCTGCTTATATACAGTAATCCTTAATGTCAACATCTCTTGGTTGTGTTCAATATTTCTTGTTTTCTTCAATAATGTATTTTTAAGGGGAAATCTGGAAAGGAATTCTGGAGTTGTATGGAGGTCCACTTTAAAACCATTTAGTGCCAGGTATCTTTCTTGAAATTATTCGCTTCATTATAATGTATTTGTTAGGAGAAGACAACCTAGTGTTCTCCAGAACTGTTGGATTTCAATTCCTGTCAGCCCCAGCCAGCATGGCTGATGAAAGGGGTTTATGCAAGTTGAAATAAAAAACTTCTAGAGGACATTGAATTGTTTATCCATGCTATTCTGCATCATTCACAAGTTAAATAGGTAGTGTGTAGACTGGAGGGTTGAAGGTATTTTTGTTGTTCTAGAACTTTTAGTAGCTTGGAGTAGCACACCGAAGAAATGAAATTTTGTATTCTCTACGGAGAAATACCGGTGATTGCCTAATGACATTTCCTAACAATTTTCTGTATTTTCAGAATTGCAGATTGAGATTAATAACATAGAGAATTTGCAAAGATGGTGCTATATGCAAATGTCTTTAAACAAAATACTATAACTCTTTTATTATTTTGCTAAAATAAACTCATGGTCCACCGTTTTGTTCTGTTTCTTCACTGGAGCTATGTAGGGAATGTACATTCATTCAAAACAGCAATGGATACTTGGAATCACAGTTAAAATAGTTTGAGAGTATGTTACTTTGCAAGACTGTTGAAGCTAAGCAGATTTCTGCCTAGACTGAAACTGGGTGGAAGATTACTTGAAGATTAAGATAAAGGTGAAATAAAAAACTTACCATGTCAACCCACAGAGTATAGGAATTTTAAAAGTAGAGTAATGAAGGGGCTCATTAATTCAGTCTTCTCACCTGGAGGCAATTCATGGTTCCTCAAATTATCATTCCTGTCTCTATCTCTTCTCTACTCTAATTTATCTTTGCAAAATAGACATCTTCAACCAGACAGTCTTATATATGTTGGAGTTACAGCTTTCAAAATTCCTTGCCAACGTTGCCAAAAGCTGAGTGGAAATTTGGAAATTTACAGTTCCAAAATAACTGAAGGATATCAGGCTGAGGAAGTTTGCTATAGAATTAATCAGCATTGAAACCAAAATAGTAATACAGAAGGAAACAATTCCAGTTGGAGACAATTGCTTTTTACCATAATTTACTGAAACATAGCTCATTAATGTTTTTCAAATCGATTGAAAGCTATCATGCTACTAAGTAAAGGTCAAACACATGGGCAGGGGCTTTTAAAAGCAGCAAATTCAAATATGCCTCTTAGTGGATAAGTAGATTAAGACATAAGAAGATATACCTGTTAAAGATACAAGATCGGTTCATCAATGATCACTGATTGTATTTTTACTGAATAAAAGGCACAATAAAAAAAATTCTCATCAACAAAGAGAAAATAAAGTAATTAAAGTTTTCGGTTCAGTTCTCAAAGGATAGATCAGCTGGGCATTTATCTTCATATTTACCTTTAACAGTAACCTGAGCACAGCAGGAAGCTCTTCCAGCAGCATTTTCTGCCAAACAAGTATATACTCCATCATCCTCTGGTAAAGCATCTTGAACCGTCAATTTTGCAATTCCATCTTCAAAGTCAGAACATGCATACTGAATTGGTTGATCTACAGAAAAGAGAAGGAAAACCCCCCAAAATTGTTGAAGTTCCCGATTTGCACCCACAAGTGTAATGGAAGAGTTTTAAACTAAATCTGTATTATGCACTATCGTTCACCATTTGATAAAGCATTTACAACAGCTCCAGCAATAAATTATTACAGACACGTAATAACTAGATTTTAAAACAAAAAAGCACAATGTTTTTATACATACATCAGACACTTTGGCAACTGACTAAAACTGAAAGTGATTCTTTCTGAGAATCTTATTGTCTCTTCAACACAATTTATTGTGGAAAAAAAGGATGACATTACCAGAACTCTAGCAAATGGCTACCTCCTATTTAGAACCAATGTGACAGAATAGAGAATTTAAACACTGTCTGCCATCTGTCACATGCTATAATCTCCCAGACATACTGTCAATATTTGCAGCTGATAACTTGAGGATGGAAAAAGAAATGGGAAAATCAGATAAGGCTCTTGTTAAGTCCTTCCAATAATGGCGAATGATGAAGACACATCTTGTAAGGAACAACTCTTTATTTCGTTTTCAGCCAAAACACCAACAACGAGCAAAGGCACACAGGCCTCTTTTTATATGACCAGATCCCCGGACACAATGGCAACAAAACAGGTGCTTTTCACGCCTTGCGCATGCGCGCAAAGCCGGCGCCACTCAGTCTGGTCCCAGGCAGCTTCTGCAATGCCCGGGACCATTGCAACGTCCCGAGCTGCATTTGCAGGCTCAGGACACAACAGCTCTGATACAGAATAAGGACAAAAAATTAAAAGGCTAATAAGACAAAAAAGGCTGATAAGAAAAAATGGAAATGGATAATTTTAGACGGAAGACAAGCAATTTTCTGGATGATTCAGAATCAAATGGATGCCTGTATGCAAAAGAGAGAGAGAGAGAGAGAGAGAGAGAGAGAGAGAGAGAGAGAGAGATGGCATGATGGTGAAAGAGACATTCTACCCAACATAGATGCCCAGAGAGGGAGAAAAGATTCCAAAGTCCAAGACAAAGTTCAAAATGCCAACTATGAGAGATTGCCAGCCAAGGTTTAACTGAAGCCCTATAGGGAATTTAGTAATGGATATAGGGAATTTAGTAATGGCTATAAGAGAATTTAGTAATGTCTATATTGATAGCAACAGCCTAAAATAGGCACATATAGTAATTTTAGGAGAAGCAATGCTATTCTGGGGAATGAAAGAACTAATATTGGAATGGAAAAGCAAATAGACCAAATATCAGTTTGATACACTCTACACTTCTAAAGTAAAAAGCAGCAAAAGTTGTGGGATAGGTTTTTGGCTTTAGTTGAATACCACTTGTCTAAGTTAATCTAGAGAAAGTACATTTTTTTTTACCTTTAAAATAATATGAATATAGACAAATTTTGAGCAGGTTTATAAGTCCCTTGTATGCTTTGTTTTGTATATTGGATCTTAAAAACCTCCTCATAACCAATATATATTTGGAGAGAGACCTAATTTTCTAATAGGCTTTCTGTAATATGATGGGAGCCGGGTCTTTTGAGTGATACTGGATAATTTTATAGCTGGCTGTTTACATAATGATCTCATGAATCTTTATCATTCTGGAAATCATTTATTTCAGCAGATATAGATACAATATGCTGATACAATTAAAATGTAATTTAATTTGAAAATTGGGGAGGGGGAAATCCTTTTCCTTCATGTAGGGAGCCATTTTTGCTTCACAGGAACTTTGAAAAGTCAATTCATTAGATAATGAACATAATACGTCTATCTATTTTCACAAGAAAGAAAGAAAGAAAGAAAGAAAGAAAGAAAGAAAGAAAGAAAGAAAGAAGAGAGGAGAAAGAAAGGATTAGAAAAAGGCAAAGTTGGGAATGTAGGAAAAGAATAACTTCAGACTTTCTTTGCTACAGATATAAAATACATTAACCTCTTACTTTAAGATTAACAACAGTACACAATATTTCTATAATCATGAATAGTTCTAATTGTCAAATCCTAAAATTAGATTTTCCTTTCAGTTTCAAGCAAAAAGTCCAAAAATAATCAAAGTTGTCAGTTTCACCATCTCAGCCAGTTCCATTAACTACTTTGATAGAATTTTCCTAAGGAATTTCTTGAGCTGAAAACACTAAGGGATGATTCTTTCTTTCCATAAACCCTCAACTTGGTTAACAAATTGTTCTTGACATTGTTTATCATGAGCTGCATGCTGTTTTTATTATTTGAAAATGTATATGGAATTATAAGCACAACTAAGGACATAATGTAAAAGTCAGTTTAAGTACAATGGCAACATAACTGAAAGAATTTGAACAAGGAAGGTGCTTCTATCACAAGTAATTTAACATTTACAAGTCAATATAAAATTGTTTCTTGAGATGTCAAGTTGTTGGTGGGTGAGTGAGGATGTGTGGTATGTTGGAGTGCCAATAATTTCTGTGTAGATTTTTTTTTTACGGTTGTTGTGACCCATCCAGGGTTATGTTTCATAAGATGGAGGGGGGGTGGGGATGAGAACTATATAAATAATTTAAATAAGTAAATAAATAATCTAAACATTCCTATATGTGACTGAATAAAATTGAATATATAGGATTACATTAGCAATCTTATATATTTCTTGGAGTTTATTTTGACTATCCTTTTTTTTTTTTTTTGGTTCCTTCAAGTCATTCTTGACCTCTGGCAACTGTCTAGCGGTTCTCTTGCCAACATTTTTGGAAGTGGTTTGCCACTGCTTTCTTACTACGGCTGAGAGACAGTGAAAGGTCAAAAGTCATTTAGATGGCTTCGAGCTGTAAGGGAGGACTAGAACTCGGAATGTCCTGTCTGATGTCTTTAGCCACTTCACCAAACTGGGTCTCTGATTATATACAGGCCTCTACTAAAGTCTATTCCTTCCTGTGGTTCCATGGATCCTGTCTTTGTTTACAAAATTCAAAGCTGTACAGGTATTTAGCATACCATTACCTTATATACTTTTAATCTTGTCTCCTAAACTAGAACATCTAATGGACACTGCCTGGCATAAGTTCAAAGAGATAGTTAAATACTATCTGTGTACTATGGAATCTTCTTTAAAAGTAACTCAAGGTTATTTGAGGCTTGAAAACCACTGGATTCATGTTTGACCCAATATGGAAGTATTCTAAATTGTAAATTCCCAACATCAAGCTACAGCCTTCCAACTGAACAATATCATTTTAGCACAGTATTGTCCTGAGTTGCCACTCACTATGAATGTTGGGTATTAGCAATCAAGAATCAGGAATGCAATTCTCACCTTTACTGTGTAATAGGCAACTATTCTTTCCTGCAATGTAATAATCAATTACTAAATGTTAATAGATTGTTTGAATTCACAAGGATAGTGTAATTACCCAACTTGATTCTTAAATAAAATTGTCCTTCGTGAGAAGCTGCATGAAATCTTAGCATTTGGCTATAGTTTATAAGCTAAACCAAGCCTGTACCAAATGATATATAAACAGCTCTGCATCATGATTAGAAGTGAGAGAGATGAAAGTTATTTGTGAGTGCTTTAACTTGGGAATGAAAGTAACATGTTTATGCCTTGCAGATAAAACACTATGTCCCCTTCATAATTACAAATTCCTAACACTTTCATTAGGCAAAACCATCTTCTCTAGGGTTAGAACTGAAGTGGATTGAAAATTATTTTTTTAAAAAAAATCTTGACTTTTCCTCCAGATCCTTTGAATGAACACAATTCTGAATATGCCATTAAAAAGCCACATTAACATTGCAGGAAAAAAAATCCTGAGATGCACTGAAGCATATAGAGATTGTCTTTGATTTACGACCATAATTGAGCCCAAAATTTGCATTGCTAAGCAAGACAGATAATGAGTTTTGTCCCATTTTACAATCTTTCTTGCCACAATTAAGTGAATCATTGTAGCTGTTAAGTTACTGTAGTAACATGGTTGTAAAGAATCTGGCTTTCCCACTGACTTTGCTTGTCAGAAGATCACAAAGGTGATGACATACTGTTGGACACTGCAGCCGTCATAAATATGACTTAGTTGCCAAGCATCTGAATTTTGGTCAAGTGATCATGCGGATGCTGTAACAGAAGTGTGAAAAATTGTCATAGGTCACTTTTTTCAATGCCATTTCACAGGTAATCCCCAAGGTACGAACGTTCATTTACCGAGTTTTCACAAAAATGAATTTATTCAGGAAGGGTACTTACATTATAGAAATTCAAAATGGTGACCAAAAAGAGGCTTCTGTAGCCATGTGACTTGGATTCAGTCACTGCTGCAAACGGTCACTGTTGAGTCCTTGGCGAAAAGCAGACGCGAGAAGCAGTTGTAGTTCTCAGGTTTCCATTTATTCTGTGTTCAGCTTATAAGTGAAGGCTTCAGCAACGCCCAAAAGCTCCTAGCCTCTTATATAGGCAGTTCCCGGGTCAATGTGTTACTTTTCCCGCACCAGCACCCGCGCATGCGCACAGGCGCTGGCGACAGCCTGTCTGGACCCGGGCAGCTTGCACCTGCCCGGGACTGCCTGCAAACGCCCCGAGCCCGTTTGCAAGGCTCGGGACATAACACCCCTTTCCCCCGGGCTAAGACTACTACCAACATACAATTATTTCTTGATGCAGTGTTCTACTCCCCAGTGCTCCTACTGTTTACTGGCTTTTGTTTGGCCAGCAATGTTATGTAATCCTCTAAGTATTTAGGAGATTTCCTTGCTCTCTGTGACCTTCTCAGCTCTGGGTTTCTGACAGGTGTTCCCTGACTGAGGGGAGACGTGAGCCTGTTCTCCTTATCATGCCTTGGTGCCTTCCAAGGACTGTGCCCAATGCCTGGCCTGCTTGCTCGCCCACCGGGCTCGTCAGGCCAGGGCTTCTGTCACTTTGTGACCTGGTTGACCTGCCTAGCTGTAGGCCCTCGGGCCCCTTGAAGTGATAGCCACTGCTGGGCATCTCTATAGAACCTCCTAGGTCCGTCCAAGACCTGTCAGGA